AGAGTCCCGCCTGGGGCTCCCCTCCTTACGGGACAGCCGACGCTGGCCCAGTGCTGGCTGTGGCCGCAGGCTGTGGGTGACGCAGGCTTCCTCCGCAGGAGGCCGTGAAGCCCGGGCTCTCGCACGGCCCCCGCCCGCCCGGGCCGCCCCAGGTGCTGCTCTGCTGCGCGGACGCCGGTCTCCGCCTGCTGGCCCCCTTCATGCCCTTCCTGGCGGAGGAGCTCTGGCAGAGGCTGCCCCCCGGGCCGGGCGGCCCCCGCGCCCCCAGCATCTCTGTTGCCCCCTATCCCAGTGCCCAGAGCCTGGTGAGTCACACATCCCTGGTGCCTGTGGGCGGGTCTTCCGAAAGGCGCAGTGTGGGTCACTAGCAGCTGGCACTTCACTGTGGGGCTGGGGTTCTGCAGTGGGGGCCCTGTTAGCACCGTGCCTCAGTGTCCCTGTCGGTAAGCTGGACGGCAGCAGGCAGGGCTGTGCTGTGATGAGAGTGGATGGCCCGGATGGCTCGGGCTCAGTGCAGTTCTAAGCTTCAGTAACCTGCGAAGGATGAATGCCACAAACGTACCCAAAACCATTTGCAAGCTGAACTGAGTTTTTAAATGATGTGTTTTGTGAGTTAAGTGGTTTTGTGTTTTAAATGTCTTATTTTTGGTTGTTTGGTGTCGTCAGAGCAACTGACAGATATCAGCCTCTGGTCATCTAAGGTGGTAGAAGGTGCCCACGTTTGGTGGGTGCATCCCTGTGGCAGTGCAGAGGCGCGGGCGGGCAGAGGAGAGCCAGGAGCGCTGGCAGGTCCGGGAGCCGCTACCAGAGCCCGCAGCCGCCTCTGCCTCCTCCTGCAGGAGCACTGGCACCGCCCCGAGCTGGAGCGGCGCTTCTCCCGGGTCCAGGAGGCCGTGCAGGCGCTGAGGGCTCTGCGGGCCACGTTCCAGCTCACCAAGGCCCGGCCCCGAGGTGAGGCGCGGCCGGCTCGCGTGCCCGGCGGGGCAGGGCGGCCGGGCAGGCCTTGACCCTGACCGGCCCTTTCCCCAGTCCTGCTGCAGAGCTCGGAGCCGGGAGAGCGGGCTGTCTTCGAGGCCTTCCTGGAGCCGCTGGGCACCCTGGGCCGCTGCGGGGCTGTGGGTCTCTTGCCCGCGGGTGCCCCCGCCCCCTCCGGCTGGGCCCAGGCCCCGCTCAGCAAGGGCGCCCAGGTCCACATGGAGCTGCAGGTGCCAGAGGGGCTGGGAGCTGGGCGGGGCCGAAGGGCGCGGGGCGGGCGGGCGGGCGGGGGGTTCTGAAGCGGGGAGGGTCTCCGTGTGGGAGGCGCAGGGCGGCCACGATGCCTGTCCTCCCGCAGGGCCTGGTGGACCCGCAGGCCCACCTGCCTCTGCTGGCCGCCCGGAGGCACAAGTTGCAGAAGCAGCTGGATGGCCTGGTGGCCCGGACCCCGTCAGAGGGAGAGGCTGAGGCGCGGCGGCAGCAGAGGGTGAGGCTGGGAGGCTGCCCAGGGAGCCCGCCCCCGAGGGAGGGGGGCCTCCTGCCGGCCCTTACTGCTTCTCGCCCTCCAGCTCTCTGCCCTCCACCTGGAACTGTCCAAACTGGACCAGGCGGCCTCCCACCTCCAGCAGCTGATGGCTGCGTCTCCCAGCCCCAGGGACCCGTGAGCCTCGGCCCGGGGCTCCGCCCGCAGACCTGCCTGCGGAGACAGGCGGGGCCGCAGCTGCTGGCAGGGCCCGGAGGCTCTGGCACCGGGGAGGGGAGGTGCAGATAAACTTTCTGAAACGCGTCTGTGTGGTTCTTTGTCCTCCTCCCCCCAGTGCTGACTCCCGCCTTCCCCCGTTCCCGAGATTCTTGCCTGGAAAGGGGCTGCCTGTGCCTCGGGCTCGGCCACTGTGGGAGTGGGTGGGGGCTGTGGGAGTGGGTGGGGGCTGTGGGAGTGGGTGGGGGCTGTGGGAGTGGGTGGGGGGCTGTGGGAATGGGTGGGGGGGCTGTGGGAGTGGGTGGGGGGCTGTGGGAGTGGGTGGGGGCTGTGGGAGTGGGTGGGGGCTGTGGGAGTGGGGGGGGGCTGTGGGAGTGGGGGGGGGGCTGTGGGAGTGGGTGGGGGGCTGTGGGAGTGGGTGGGGGGGCTGTGGGAGTGGGGGGGACTGTGGGAGTGGGGGGGACTGTGGGAGTGGGTGGGGGCTGTGGGAGTGGGTGGGGGGCTGTGGGAGTGGGGGGGGGCTGTGGGAATGGGTGGGGGGGGCTGTGGGAGTGGGGGGGGCTGTGGGAGTGGGGGGGGACTGTGGGAGTGGGTGGGGGCTGTGGGAGTGGGTGGGGGGCTGTGGGAGTGGGGGGGGGCTGTGGGAGTGGGGGGGGGCTGTGGGAGTGGGGGGGGGCTGTGGGAGTGGGGGGGGGGGCTGTGGGAGTGGGTTGGGGGCTGTGGGAGGGGGGGTGGCCTCGCTGGAGGAAGGCAGAGCTTTCTTGTGGCTGGCACAGTAACCCGGGTCACCTATGCCCGGCTTGCTGACGGTGTCGGTGTCTCTGGGCCTGCCCTCCGAACGCCTTGCTCCTCTGGGCGGGGCTGAGACAGGCCGGAGGGGCCGCTGGGAGGGCTCCCCACGCTGCTGAGACGCCCAGGCCCCCAAGCAGCTGTCCCGTCCCAGTGGCGTTCAGGCCTGGCCCTTCCGGCCGCTCCCATGGTGGCCACTGGCAGCTGGGCCGCCTGGTGCTGCTGCACCGAGACCTCAAGGCGGGCGTTCTCCATTTCTGAGACGAAATGCGCGCAGAGAATAAGCAGCTTGTGTAACTGTCGCCCGGGGTTTAGCCCAGTGGCCGACATGCACGTCTTTCCAGGCTGTAACCAAGCTTCACACACTTCCAACCAGATCAGGTCTGCCCGGTCCCTCCAGCACACCCACGGCCGCCCGGAGCGAGGCAGCGGGGCAGCTTCCTTTCCTCGGCCCCCGCTCACGGGTGTGCAGCGCCCGCTGGGTCTTGGGCCCTGTCTGGACGCTCGGGTTCAGTGAATGCAAGAAGCCAAGGTCTCTGCCCGGCAGTGCTTTGGTCCTAGCAGGGAGAGTCGGAAATAACGGGTGTACGTGCGCAGTGTGGAGCGTGCCCGAAGGCACGAGGGCGGAGCCCGTGGGCCCGGTGGGAGAGAGAGCGGGTGTGGTGATGGACGAGTCAGGAGGCGAGGACTCCGGGTGGACGGCAGGGAGTGGCCCAGGGCCGAGTCAGGGCGGAGCGGCAGGAGGGTGGTTTAGGGTGTGCTGCCCAAAGTGGGCCATTTGGCTGTCGAAAGTAATTTTAAAAGTTCAACATTCAGTTCCGACTTCAAGGACCTGACAGCCACACGTGGCTGGTGGCTCCCACGCATTTCCGTCATCTCGGCAAGCCCTGTTGCCAGTGCCGGCCAGGCCCTTGCTGGCCATCGTAAGGGCTGTTGCCCTCCCTCGGAAGCGGCCAGACGGTGTCAGGAAGCTGCCCGCTTCCCGCGGGCACCCAGTCGGGCCCTAACCGGGCGAGGGCTGGGCCCGGCCAGGTGCGCGCTGAGCTTCACACGGCTTTCCAAACGGAGGCGCGTGCGTATCCGGACGCTGACCACCGCGGTCTAACCGACCCACAGCACTGCACCGCTCTGTCTTAGAGGAGAGAATCTGGAGTCACAGCCAGTCACCTCGGGTCCTGAGGTCTAAGAACCAGGCTCTGCAGCAGTCAGTCTGCTCCTCCAGACATTTGAGGATCCAGACGTCCAGTCCCCCAGCTTGTTTGGGCCGACAGAGGGGTCACTTGTGCAGGCAGGCTGGGGCAAGTCCTGACATAGGGGGCCCTTCGGGGCCTCGGCCACCTCTCTGGGCTAACTCCCAGCGCAGGTGCCGAGGGAATGGGGGATTTTGAGCTTGCTTTTCCTCTCCCACTTCCTGTGCCCCCCTCGTGTCAGGGGGCCCCTGCCCCGAGCAGCCGGCTCTCGGTGCCCAGGCGGTGGCCGTGCCAGTGGGCGCACGGGCGGCGGGCCGTGGAGAGCAGGCAGCCATCACATCCACACCCAGGCGGCCAGGTCCGGCGGCGTGCTCGCAGTGTGCGACGCTGCTGACAAGTCAAGACCGTTCCTGCGGGCCCAAGGGTCCCGGGTCCATCTGATCAGTCCAGTACCGTGGTTGCAGGCTCCTTCCCGGCCCGGGCCCTGGTTGGACGCATGCAGGAGGCAACCAATCGATGTGTTTCTCTCACATCGATATTTCCGTCTTTCCCTCTCTTCCATTCTAAAAATTAATGGAAAAATATCCTTGGGTGAGGATTAAAAAATAAGTCAAGACGGTCTCAAGTGGGGAGTCAGATGAGGAAACGGATGGGACGGCTTTCCACCCTGATAACACCCTCCCGCCGGGCCTTCCTGGAGGCAGGAGGCCCGTGCCCAGCGGCTGGCCGTGGGTCCTCGGCATCCCGCCGATGCAGTGCTAGTCCCATTGTGCAGGCTGCGTGCGGTGAGAAACCCCCAGGACTCAGTGTGGGTCTGTGTGGCTGCCCCCACCCCCTTCCCGGCCAGCGGCCACCCTGCCATCAGTGGAACCCGGGCCTCGCACTGAGCCGCCTCCCCACCCTCACCGGATTGGCCTGTGTGGATCCCTGGGTCAGGACAGCCTGGGACCAGAGGGACTCCCAACGGACTCAGTGGCCCCCTCCTCCCGTGTTCTGTGACCTCACCGGAAGTGTGTGCTCCCTGAGGGTGTGCCCCGTTCACTCCTCCGATCCTTCTAGGCCCGTGACACCCCACCGTGGGAGCATGTCCAGGGCCTGGGTCCTTTTACTGCCACCCTCACCTCAGAACCGCAGCCGCCCCGCAGTCCCTCTACCAGAACCCACAGTCCCTCTACCAGAACCCACAGCCCCTCTACCAGAACCCACAGCCCCTCTACCAGAACCCACAGCCCCTCTACCAGAACCCACAGCCGCCCTGTATCAGAGTCCGCAGTCGGAATTCAGCATATTTACTGCCACGCAGCAGGGGGCCTGCTGAAGCTGCCCCTCCCCTCCCCTCCCGGCGGCTCCGGCCGCTCAGCCTGGGCAGGTGACGTGGTGGGCTCCCGCCTGACGAGGGGCCATGCCGGTCCCTGGCGGGAGGCGGAGCAGGAGGCAGAGCTGCGGAGAGAAGGGTTGATGGCTCTCACCCAGGTGCCAGGAGCCCAAACCCACTCGCACCCACTGGGGTTCCACAGCCCCCCCCCCCCCCCCCCCCCCGGAAGAGCTACCTTCTGGAGCAGCTCCAGGAAGCTCGAGTCATAGGACGCATTTGCGAGAGAGGAATCCTTCAGCTTCAGCCGCAAAGCCAGGCCCGGCCCTGGGGACCCAGACACAGCTTAGGACCCAGCCCCGCTGAGGAGTGGGCCCCTGCTCCCTCTCCCCCCGCACCAGCCCTTCCAGCCCCTCTGCGGCCGGTCACCGGGCTCAGGGCAGGACCCTGCCTCCATCCCGCCGGCTCCCCTTCCCGGCCTCCTGCCTCCAGGCCCCCGTGTCCAGCCCTGAGCCCTCACCTGCTCCTTGGGAGCTGCCCAGGAGGGCCAGGAGGAGGAAGAGGGGCAGTCTGGCCCCCATGGTGGCCCAGCTCCTTGGGCGGGTAGCAGAGGCGCCTGAGCCCGCTGGCCTGCTGGCCTGCCTCCTACAGCCCGTCCTTAGCACAGGCGTGTGTGTGTGTGTGTGTGTGTTAAGGGGGCGGGGGACGACTGAGTCGGTGTGGAGGGGAAAGGTGGGTAACTGGATTGTCCGGTTCTCCCAACATGGTTCTGAGGATCCAGGAGAGCCACTCACTGAGCTGCTGGGAAGAGTGGGTGGTCCCTCCTCGGCCTCCTCCATGGATGTGGTCCTGCAGGTTGTCTGGGCCTCACCCAGCTGGGCCTCTCATCGCTCTGTAGGGATTAATTATTAACCACAATTAATTTCCACCATTCGTGCCACCAAGGGCTCAGGAATGTGGGTCCACAAGGGAGGGGTGGATTAGCCCAGTTTCTTCCCAAACCAGGAACCCGCCTCACAGCCAACTCCTGGCCGGGCAGCTTCCTCTGGAGCCTCAGTCGCTCCAAACATCCCAGACACTCAGGTGGAGGCACGGCCTCACCAACCCCCTCCCGCTTCCCGTTCGGGCAGGACACCGCCCCCCAGGCACAGGCAGACTCCCGCAGATGTGGAGAGGGGGCTGGAGCCATCCATGCACCATCTTTCTTTAAAACCAGGAAGTGAGGCCCGGAGGGGGCGAATAGCTTATCAGGCCAACACAAGTCAGCAGCAGCGGGCTCAGAGCTCACCCTCATTCTGACTGACAAGATGGACACCCCAGTCACGAAGCCTGTCTTCCTGTTTGCCTCTGTATGTAACACCTCCCCCACCCCCAAACCAGAGGGCCCAGCACAGGAGACGGAGCAGAGAGAGGCAGTGCCCAGCAGCGGGACCAGCCGTGTGCACACAGGGAGGCCAGCAGGCCCGGGGAGCGGCAGGCGCCGGGGGGCCGCGGGCTCGTGTCTGCATCCCAGCGGGCATTCCTCGGACCGTCCTGCAGGCCCTGAACGGCCGGAGCCCTCTGCGGAGCCACGATCCTCTCGTGACAGACGTGCCGGCACAGCTGGGAGGCCATCGGGCACCGGGGGGTGGGGGTGGGGGGCAGCTCCGGCAGCAGCCCGGGGTGCGGCCGGACTCCGGTGTCCACCCCCCAGGGTCTCCTGAGGGTCAGTGCCACCCCAGGCCAGGACATTCTTCACCCACCAGCTCCCAACCCCTGCTCCTCGAGAGGGGCACGTGTCCTCGGCCGGGGCGGGCACGCCCTCCCCCAGGAGGGTCTGTGGGCGCTGACTCAGGCGGGGGGGTAGGCGCCTGCTCTGGGAGGAGCCCGAGGGCCAGGTAGGGGAGTCCTCAGGCTTTTACTCACGCTCCCCCTCGCCCAGTGCTTCCTGGGATCAAGCTGGGATGGGTTAATCCTCTGGGGACAGCTTGGGGACCTCTCCCTGGGGCCCGAGATCCTGGTGTTGATGGAGGTCCCGGCACACCTGGCTCTCCAGAGGCACAAACAGGTGCCGGGCCTTTAAAAGCCGGGCCCTGGCCTGCGAAGGCACCAGGCCGGCACCATGGACGCTGCGAGGGTGCTGCTGCTGGGCCTGCAGGCCTTCGCCACACTCGGTGCGCAGGCTCCAAAGGGGTGCCGGGTGCGGGGTGCCGGGTGCGGGGTGCCGGGCGAAGACCCAGGGACGCCTCCGCTATCTCCTCTTCTCACTGATGCTGTTCTTTCCAACAGCTCAGCTGAACCCATGGAGGACCACAGCATCTGCAGGCCTCCCCGCTGTCTCTGACAGTCTCGCTCTCTCGGGGGATGTCCCAGAGGGTCTCCCCTCTGTCTCTGGGGGCCTCCCCACTGTCTCTGGGGGTCTCCCCTCTGTCTCTGGGGGCCTCCCCTCTGTCTCTGGGGGCCTCCCCTCTGTCCCTGGGGGCCTCCCCTCTGTCTCTGGGGGCCTCCCCTCTGTCTCTGGGGGTCTCCCCTCTGTCTCTGGGGGTCTCCCTGGGGGTCTCCCCTCTGTCTCTGGGGGTCTCCCTGGGGGTCTCCCCTCTGTCTCTGGGGGTCTCCCTGGGGGCCTCCCCTCTGTCTCTGGGGGTCTCCCCACTGTCTCTGGGGGCCTCCCCTCTGTCTCTGGGGGCCTCCCCTCTGTCTCTGGGGGCCTCCCCTCTGTCTCTGGGGGTCTCCCTGGGGGTCTCCCCTCTGTCTCTGGGGGTCTCCCTGGGGGTCTCCCCACTGTCCCTGGGGGTCTCCCCTCTGTCTCTGGGGGTCTCCCCTCTGTCTCTGGGGGCCTCCCCTCTGTCTCTGGGGGCCTCCCCACTGTCTCTGGGGGTCTCCCTGGGGGTCTCCCCTCTGTCTCTGGGGGTCTCCCCTCTGTCTCTGGGGGCCTCCCCTCTGTCTCTGGGGGCCTCCCCTCTGTCTCTGGGGGTCTCCCCTCTGTCTCTGGGGGTCTCCCCACTGTCTCTGGGGGCCTCCCCTCTGTCTCTGGGGGCCTCCCCTCTGTCTCTGGGGGTCTCCCCTCTGTCTCTGGGGGTCTCCCCTCTGTCTCTGGAGGTCTCCCCACTGTCCCTGGGGGCCTCCCCTCTGTCTCTGGGGGTCTCCCTGGGGGTCTCCCCACTGTCTCTGGGGGTCTCCCCTCTGTCTCTGGGGGTCTTTCTGGGGGCCTCCCCTCTGTCTCTGGGGGTCTCCCCTCTGTCTCTGGGGGTCTCCCTGGGGGTCTCCCCACTGTCCCTGGGGGCCTCCCCACTGTCCCTGGCGTTGTGTCTGCGACTGTCCCCACTGTGCCCGTGTCTTCAGCCTCTGGAAACCTCCCCAGTCACCCTCCGACTTCCGGCCCCGGCTCCGCGCTGCCAGGTGAGGCTTCTGCTCCCCGTCCCTCGGCCAGCGGGCGGGCTTCCCTGCGGCCTGCCCTCCTGCTTTTCAGTTCCTCGCCTCCCCTGCAGCTGCCACCTTCTGTAGCCGCCAAGACAGCCCCCGCCGACTGCCAGGCCGTGAAAACATTCTCGACCATGTTCTTCCCGAGGCTTTGTTATTAGTTTCACACTGAAGCCTGGGAGCCATCGCAGGTTAATCCCTGGGCATGGAGGGGCTCCAGTTCAAGTTTTCCCAGAACCATTGATTTCCCGGACCCTCGGCCGCCCTCCACTGCTGTGCGGGTGCCTCTGGCGAGGCCAGGTCTGTCTGCCAGACTCCACTGAGGCCCCCTCCGCCACCCGCCCGCCCCGCCCCACCCCTCCGAGGTTCTGTTCCCAAGAGGACGGGGACCGCCACCCAGAAGAGTGGTCTTAGGTGGCAGCGGGAGGCGGAATTGAGGCCCTCGGGCCTGGGTCCCTGACCGGCTAGGCTCTGCCCCTCAGGCCCCGCGCTTCCAGACTGGGCCATCGTGCTGATCACGCTCACCGTGGTGGCAGCCATCGGCAGCTCACTGTACGGCGTCAAGAAGGTGAGGGACGCAGTGTCCGAACCAGGGGCTGGGACCTGTGCCAGGTCCTGACAAGAGCAAGGCTTCGGAGAGAAGGGTGATGGCTGGCTGCACACAGGGAGGAGCGAGGAGGGAGGAGGGACGGAGGAGGGGGGAGGGGAGGGGAAGGGAGGGAGGGGGAGGGGGGAGGGAAAGGGAGGGAGGGGGAGAGAGGGGGAGGGGGGAGGGAAAGGGAGGGAGGGGGAGGGGGGAGGGGGAGGGGGGAGGGGAGGGAGGGGGAGGGGGAGGGGAAGGGAGGGAGGGGGAGGGAGGGGAGGGAGGAGGAGGCAGGAGGAGCTGGGGAGGGGCCTCGGCTGACCCACCTACCCCCTCTCCTCACAGGCCTGCCAGTTCCGGAAGGAGATGAGTGTGGGGTGCGGCTGTGGCCCCGTGACCCCGTACGGCTGCCACCACGAGGTCACCGGTCAGCGCTTCTCCGTCAAGTGACGGGCTGGGCTGGCGGCACCCCTCCCCTTGGCCTTCCTCCTTCCTCTTGGAAACAGGCCCGAAGCAGGAAGAGCCGGAGGAAGCAGCTCCTCGGAGCGGTGGGGGTGGGGGTGGGGGTGGGGCGCAGTGCTCGCCCCGGCGGGCGGCGCGAACAGACCCGGGGTGGAGGCCGTGCAGGTGGACGGGGTCAGTGTGATGCTGTCCAGCGGAGAGGGCTGCATGTCACACCTGTGTGTTCTCAATAAAGGACGTTGGGTAACAGGAAATCCTGTGAACGGCACCGAGCTTCCACGCCCCGCCCGCCCCCCCAGTGTTCTCCCCGAGGGGTCTCTCCCTGGCCTCACCGAGTCCTCCACCCCTGCAGCTGAGCACCTCGCGGTCCCCCACACAGGAGGGGCCCTTCACATCTCCTTCCACATGGAGCACGGGCCTGGCCCTCCCAAGCCCATCCTCCTCTCTGCGGTGAGGGCCCTCCCTGTGCTGAGGGCAGCTGCCCCCCGCGGTCCCGGCCTGACATTTGCCCGAGTACGAGGGCTTTGCGCCAGGCAGCCCCAGCCACGTCCGGCTCCGCTGCTGCCGGCTTCGCCAGGCCCGAGGGTGCTCCTTCTCACCTGTAAACCGGGCCGCGGTGCTGCCTCACCCGCTGCACGGAGCGCGCTGGGGCTGGCGGGGCTGCTTGGGACCGGCCCTCGGCCTGTCGCTCGGACACAGCCCTCCGTCCTGTTCTTCTGCCCGGTGCCCGGCCCTCTGGGGAGGTTGTGGTTAAAAAGAGGGGGCCCGCCACCCCGCACTGCGGACGGACGGACAGACGGAGAGCTCTCTGTGCGGAGGGGGGCGGGCAAGGAGGCCCAATGTCCCTGAGGGGCCCGGGCGGTGCCTGCTGTGCGGCGTGGCCGTGCCGAGGAGCCAGTCCTGGCCTGGTGCCGCGGAGCCTCGTTAATCTCCCATTAATCACATTAATGAGCAATTGGCCTGCTCTGCTCTCCCCGCCCGCTGCCGCCCTGCCCAGGAGGGGACTAGTCACACCACGCGATGGGAGGCATTCCCACCTCGGCCCTCGGCCGTGAGCCCGCCGGCCCTGTCCTGGCCCTCCGGCACCCACCCATCCTGCTGAGAGCCAGGCCGTGCCGCCCCGGGGGAGACCCTAGGGAGCACAGGGAGGGGCCGACCCCTCCGCCCGGGGCCAGAGGACGAGTTTGGACACAGGAGGGAGGGAGGGCGTCTCTGTGGGGGA